ACATGACTGGGGGACAGAGGCATGGAGGGGGCATGGCGGGAGTGGCGGTAGAGACGACAGTGGCGCTGAATGGAGTTGCGAACGTCTCGCGCTATCGATTCGCGCTGGCCCGCTCGATATCTTGGACGTCTTCGTGGGAATACTTCGCAGGCGGAGTAGCCGTCGTCGCCCTGCATTTCTTTTTGGCGGGGTGTGCATTTCTTTTGACGAGAAAGCGTCTCTGTGGTTACAGTGGTTGCCTGTCGAACGTTTCTTGTGAAACAAAATACCGTACCATTTGCATCGCTTACATCTACACTAATATGTACCAGAAATGTTGAAGATTACAACAGATGCAATAATAATGTTTGCTGGTTGCTCTGGATGTTGTTTGAGACGGCTGCGCACTAGTGTATGTGCAAGAAGTGTAGCTCTGGCAAAAACTTATAATTATATTGCGCGGAAATGCATTGAAATAGGACATCATTTTGGTCGCCTTGCAGAGCACGATCAGAATGAGAACTTGCAGAATGTACATTCAAACAATACAAATTATCTCCAGAATAAAGAACCAAATTTTTACTTGGTTGGAGATCATAAAACTATTTACAATTTTTCATGTGAATCAAAACTCGAAATTCTAGAAAATGTGACTGAAAAAAGCGCGGAAATGGAGTACGTAGCTGTTTAAGCGGGTTTCTCAGCAACCGCCCAGTCCAACGAAAGGGAATGATAATTAAGCCATATTCACTCTGAGCTCTCGTTATGATTTTATCCCAGACGTGCTCACGAAAAAATCCGCGTCGCTATCCCGAAATGTGCTCACGGTATTTTTCCCTATTTTGTTTCCCACGGCGAGTGCTCCTCCAAGCGCTGAGAATGTCTACCTGCGTGTATTGTAATATGATGTTTACAGCGCGACGTAAGCGCGTGTTTGCTTGGCACACAGAGAGCGCGGTTTGTTCTATGCTTTGCTTTGCCCGGATGGCCGTTAACGAAACCTTTGTTGCCTGCCGGCGCAAAACCCCCGCTCCGGCGTCCTTCCTCGCGCACAAAGGCGGCGGCGATTCACTGCTGTTTAACATTCGCCTCGAGAGCTGCGAATCCCCACACCTGCGCGCCTCGCCTCGCCGCCGCCAGGGGCGCCGCCACACGTCCTTCTCTGGCGCAAATGGACCCCTGCACAGACATCCTCATTTCGCCCTCTTTAGAGCAGGTGTTTTATTTCCAAGGGAATACGCTTAGTACACACGTCAAGGAGGAGGTACTATATTCCATTATGTTGTTGAGACGAGGACGGAACAAATGATACAACCGAAGTAAAACGTTTTGTAAATGTTGCATTAGAGGCAGGATCTTTACGAAATACTCTGTTCCACAGCACAAAGAGATATTTCCACCGAAAACAGAACACAGTTGTCACGGTACCATCTTGACATAGATACATAGATAATAGAAAACATTTTTGTAAGTAAAATAAATGTCATAAAGCGCAAAAAGAAATTGTCAGAAATACAATTTTAATTTTGGTATATTATTAACTGTCATTAAATTAGTTTATTTTTTCTTATGTATATGTTGTTTATCATTCCAATTATAAGATAGTTCAGTGGCAAATTTAGGTTAAAAGTCATTTTAGTAGCAAAGTGAGGGGCTTTCAAAATACGTGACAGCTTTATCTGTGCAAATAAATATGAGCGTCTGCGACTACAACTTATTTGGACGATACATGTTTTTGAAGGCTCTAATTACAGGTTGACTGTATCTTTAACGTCTGTGCGCACTTATTTTTATCGGATACAGCTTTCCTTCATCTGCGGAAGTAAACGTTATTTAACATTGTCACCACCCTTTCGTATAAAACAAGCAATACATCCGACGCAAGAAACTGACTTAGAAACAAAGAATTGGTCTTGGTATCTTAGTGGTTAGAGAAATTGGGCCTAAACTAGGAGATCCGGGTTCGAATCCCGGATTCCCGAATTCAGTGACAATTCTGTGAACAAATTAAATTAGTCAAAGTGTTTCCCTTACAGTGAAGACACATCTTCGGGGGCGTTCCTGCAGTTAAAACGGAAAGCGCCACCTCGTGAGTGCAAGAACGGCACGCATTCCGAATGCGTATTCCTTTTTTCTGTGTTGTTTATTGTTATTTAAGGTCACATCGACATCCAGGTCACTACCAATAACTATTGCATTTAACGGTATGGTAACTGAGAGAATGACAACCATACAACCATGCCCGAGGCGGGACTCGATCCCGCGTTCCTTAGGGCCGAGATCGCTACGGCACTACTGCCTTAACGATCGCCGGACCGCCAGCGTGCACCTTTATTCACGTCAGTCACATTGACACAGGCGAGCAGGTCGAGAGTCTGAAAGGCACCGGCCGGGCAGAACTGTTGCAAGGCCTCCGTCCAGTGGGGTGGCCATTAGCTAATGGAATTGCTGCCGCTTATTAATACGGAGCGGCCTGCTCGGCCGGGCGCGGCGCGGTCCAGGGCGGGCGCTGCCTCAGCGACGCGGGGCCGCATAATCCGATTGGGCGATCTGATGCAGTCGTGGACGCCGCCCAATGGGTGCCTCGTCGCCAGAGCTCGGCTGCTCAAGGGCAGCTCGGGCCTCCGGATAACGGCTCTCTCTCGCAGTAGGATCTGAATATTTGTGTGATGTGAAGGGCTCGCAGAGAGAGAAATGAACTGACATAATTTCTCGGGAATAGCGGTTGGTTGCTTCTGCGGTGAGACTGGATATTTGAATGCTGTCTTCTGCGATGATCTGAATATTTGTGTGCTATGAAAGGATCACATTGAGGGAAATGAACTGACAGAATTTCTGAGGAATAGCGCTTGGTTGCCTCTGTGGTGAGACTGAATATTTCAATGCTATTGCCTCCTGTGAGTATCTGAATATTTGTGTGCTGTGAAGGGCTCGCAGAGAGAGAGAAATGAACTGACATAATTTCTCGGGAATAGCGCTTGGTTACTTCTGCGGTGAGACTGGATATTTGAATGCTGCCTTCTGCGATGATCTGAATATTTGTGTGCTATGAAAGGATCACATTGAGGTAAATGAACTGACAGAATTTCTGAGGAATAGCGCTTTGTTGCCTCTGTGGTGAGACTGCTATTGCCTCCTGCGAGGATCTGAATATTTGTGTGCTGTGAAGAGCTCACAGAAAGAGAAATGAACTGCCAGAATTTCTCAGGAATAGCAATATTCCATTTTTCCAAAATCGTTAAGGGCCTGATCGTAATAAATATTGGCACACCTCGGTGTCATTATTTTCTAAACGTAAATTATCAGTCTAATAGATTACATTATACGAAACTACATGACAATCTCAGCACTGCAATTTCAGATATTTTCATTAAAATTATTTTGTAAGAGTGACTAGTTATAGTTTTGAACGCATCCGCTGCATACTTATTTTATAATTAATAAGTATTTTAACGGTTTGAGCGATTATATTGTGAGAGCGGTGGTCAGCGCTTGGTTGTTTTTGCGGTGAGACGTCATTCTTCTGGTGGCCTAGTTCTTCCTTCTGATGACCCCATTCGTTGTGAAGTAATCCGAAGGCGCATAACGTGACTTACATTGAAGTAAATGGAATAAAAATTCATAGGAATGAAGAACCAAAGAGATCAGGACGTTGAGTTACAACGCGATGTCGGTAAATACTGAAGCAATATCCACAATCTTTTGTTTTAGCGTCATTTCCTGGTCAGGAGTATTTAGGCTATAATCTAATGGCTATAAACTGCCATGAACTTTTATAAATTTGAAAAATGATTACTTTTCTTCATTTTTAGCCTAACATCACATCAGATATTCAGGAATACACCAATGCAATAGTTTTATTACACCCCACCAACATGTGTCTACGATTGTGATCTACCAGTTTGTGAATTTTACATACAGTAACTCAAAATGTCAAAATTTAAGAATGATTCTGTCAGTTTACCTTTTACTCTATAGGAGGATTTTGATTTTAATTGCATCTGAGCATGAATGTATTAAGTGTTCAAGTGGTATGAAATTATTGGAAAATGTTATTTTTGCTGATGGACGTGTTTGGCTTTCTCTTCAAAAGGTATACATGCAAACATGTATTCTGTATACATAGTTATTGATTTAGTAGTAAATTAGCATGATTATGACCTATTTGAGGATTGCACGGGTGGAAGAGAAACACATTGAGTAATTTGCATTTTCATGCTAAAACTGTAACAGATTGGCGGATTCTTTGTGGGGAAGTGTTTTTAATATTGGAGAGTGAAAGCAAACATTTGGGTGATAATTTAGATTGGTGATAGTTGCGAACGAGCAAGTATTCTAATGTGATCCCCTGTGATCTCGGATTTTGGAGATGTTATAACTCACTTACAGATGTATTGGTGGCTCTTCATTAACCACAATTTTTTACGGACTCTAAAACACGTACTGGATTACAATTAAAATGATATATGTAATTAAGCGTCAGTTATTTGCGACGGCAATGACGTAACAGTTAGCTAATCGGACTGTTATATCTAAGTACACGTGTTGTAGAACCACATCGAAGCCCGAAGATTTTTAGGGCGAAAACATCCTTCGTACGGAGAGGAAGTAAAGCCGTCTGTCCTATGATAGTAGATTTACTGCATGTAAAAGATCCTCAAGTCTAAATGACGCCTTTGAGCTAAATTCAAAAATCGCCTGTTTCGTCGCCAAAGAAATATCTCCTTTCTCATCTAGTTGGTAAAATGAGCGTAGCAAAATTTGCGTGGTCAGACGGAAGAGCGGGCCTGACGGTCTGAGTCTCACCACGTAAAATAAGACGTCGATTCAATTGCATTCAATTCAATTGTCTCGGCATGATATTGAAGTTTAATTTCGATCCTTTCTTCATGAATACGCGAGAAGAAAATAAATGTTTGTAATTATATAAAAAAATATGAGTGTAAGTTTTACGATATGGACATTGAAAATATTGGTATAATTCATAAAACCACAGAAAATATACGTGAGTGCCAGTAATTTTATTTTGTAGTTTAGATTTGTTTATTGTGTTTAGATATAAAGTGAGGAATGTTTGTGGCATGGAACTCCCCTCCGCAAATAAATGTAAATATTTTTTTTGTAGGGAAGAGAGCTAGACAACCTGCAAATTTCCAGGAGGCGGCAAGGGAAAGCAGGACGGGAGGGGCGGGGTAGGGTTAAACAAAGACCCAAATGAATAGATAGAAGTACGCCCAGATTTTTCTTCGTATGTAATAAATTATTGTAATAAGGCCTGAGCAACGCACAGAGAACTGTTCTACGACCAAAATATTGTACAATGATAACACATTAACTGAATAACCTGGAATAAAAGGAAGACAACAGAAACCTGCCACAGAATGGGTAAAAACCTGCAGAGTGATGGGTTGACTTCTGATCACTAACCGTGAGAGTAAAAGGGGCGAGCATGTGAGTCAAACCAAGGTAGAGCGCCCCGAAGGCCTGTGAGCCGCACCGGGAGGAGCCCGTCCGCTTCCCGGTTCCCCACGTGGCCTCGCGAATGCACGCGCACCAGCGTGGGAGTGACGAGGGGGAGCGATGAGGGGGTGGCGGAGGCCGTGGGGGAGAGGGGGGGGCTAATCCGGCTGATGGCGCTCATCCAGCGGCGCATCGTTACCCTTCCCCTCCCTTCCCCTCCTTTCCTCTCCCCTTCCCCTCGCGGGTTGGGGCGGCCGCGCGCCCGTCTAATATCTTTGAAACGCGGAAATTCGCGTAACGCAAACGGTCAAGATTTGAGGGCCCGCGCCCCCTGAAAGGGCGCGTCCGCTGAGGGGTAGCCGCCGTCTGCGCCTACGCAGTTTCTGTTTAGCTTAAGAATGATCCTCTCGCACACAAATGTACGTGCTTAGTATTCAAATGTTACACCGGCTTAGGTGGCTCAGGGTATCGACTGGTTACTGTTGGGTCCCTGATCGGGAGGTCTTCATGGTAGCAGGATTTTCGACACTATCTAGAGGTCTAAGGTGGAACTCAGCAGCTGTCTGGAGGAGAATTCTAGCGACAGGCTATTCTGATCGGTAGTTTTCCGATCAACACCAAGCGATTGCGAGAGCCATGGACCGCGCGCGATCTTTCCTTCCTCTTCCTCGTCCTATTCGCACCCCTTATTTATACACATGTACACTTAGATGTACTATTCTGTCACAATTTTCGGGAAGACCAGCCGAGAATTTGTCATCATCGCCCATCATGAATAGGAACATAATGCCCATCATGATAAAAACGTGCACTTACGTGACTAATCTACTACGAGACTAATATTAACAGTTAACGCGTCCGAAATCACTAATCAATCAATCAAAAACAAATGCCACAGGCTACTTTCTTTCGCGATTATTCTCTTCCGAAAATCTGTAGTTTTTGTCGAAATCATAAATTTTGACTTTTTTTTATTAAAATAGAGAGAGAGAGTAAAAATATTGTAAAACTCTGGAAATGGTTATTACAAATCCGCATACTGCCATTGTGAGGCAATATAACATATCAGACAGAAGGAAAATGTGTGGAGAATAAACGGCGATGAGTTCGTTGTATGCCAATATTGACTGCTTTATCGGTGATCGACGTAATAAACATTCCAAACACAGAGTTTTGTGGCTATTGGTTCTATTCGGTTAATATGGCTTGATCGGTGCTGGACTTCGCTGGCAATGCTGGTATTGCCCCACTCAGTTGATCGTGAAACCTCGAGAAGATCTGAAGCAAACTGTCAATGAGGCAAGTGACAGCGCGTGAGTAGCAAAATGAATAGTGCATTGCTTTTTGCATTGTCATTCGTTGGTTGAGCAAAGTTTAGGTCGAAAGAATATCTCCTTCTGCAAGGGCGTGAGCAGGCAACTTGAACCGACAAGCATATTCTTTGGTCGTTACCGCTTGTAACGTTTAGCGCGAACGAAACTCCGAATGATCGCGTGGGAGATGCGAAGGGCGCGAGGAATGGGAGCCCCCCATTGCCCGACTGCATCCCGCGCTCAGTTTCTCTCGCTTCCCGTCTAACCCCCTTTCCTGACCTGAGAATGAGTAGCCCGACTGCATCCCGTGTCTTTCATCCGGTGTTTCAGAAGGAGTAAAAATAACGTTTAGTAGCGCAAATAGATGTGCCAGAGGAAACCTGGAGCACAGGTGAACAGAGCCAAATCTTTGAAGTGGTGCACAAGTATGTTAAGTCAGCAGGATAAGAAGTTGCTCGTGATAGGAGATTTCAGGTTGTTTGGTTGTTGTTGTTTTTTCTACAAACGTTTAAGTGTGGTTTTCAACATCTGGCAGTATTCTAAAAGCATATGGAAACGTTTCCTGAAGGGAGACAGAAACGGAACAATTACAATCGATCAATATAATATTAGGTGGTAAAGGTAGAAATCAATCCTTGCTACCTAAGGAGGAAATCGGCACGGGATGCAATCGAGCTGTATCTTTTTCCGGAGATGGATAAAGGGCTTAGAAAACGTTGGCTGTGGGATGCAATCGGGGTATGCTTTTTTGGAGAGGTAAGTAATAGTGATGCGACATCGACAACAAAACATGGATGTAGCCAAAACTCGATGTTCAAAATAAAAACACGATTTTAATAATAAATTGACCAAAAACCATCGATGTCTTGATGCTGGTTTAGTAACTTCTTAACATTATATTCGTGCGCAACAAAATGTGCCAAGTTGACAATGAAACAATTTGACATTGCCGTGTATATTAATTTGTAATTAAAATTTAACGAAAAACAATGTTAAAAATCTCCTCTTGTGCGAGTAAATGCCAAGGCATCAGAATTATGTCGAGCGAGGGATAGCCTGATCAACTAAGGTAGTAATATCCGCGTTCATTTGGTTCGAACACACAAAACAGAGGTGCCATCAGTTATTATTTAGTATTTTAACATTAACACGATTGTGGTTATGGAAATTTTTCATCCACAAGCAAAACATTGAAATCGAAAAAACATCGATCACAAAACATCGATGTTCAAAAAACATCGCCTTCAATTAATCGATGTTTAAAACTTCGATATTTTTATTTTTAAAAAAATCGATGTTTTGTAAACTTTACTCACATCCCTAGTAGGTAAGCGACTTGTGAAAAGTTGAGCGCGGGATGCTGTCGGGCGATTCCCGCCCCGAGGAGAGCCCGCTCCATTGCGGGGGAGCGTCGCCTGGTGCGAACGATGTGGGACGCCCTCTGGGGGTGCCGGCGACCATCGCATCGCCTCGCAGCGCACCGTCTGCTCCGCGCGCCCCTCGCCCATTAGCATACGGGCCCGCGCCCCTACGCGGCTCTCGCGCCCGTCACGCGCTTCACCGAGACATGGGTTGCGAGGAACGTGGAAAACCGAATCAGGGACAATCCCCCCCGGCACACACGCACTCGAAAGTTTCTCTCTCCGAGAGAAAAACAGTCTCGCGACGTACATCTCCGAGAAGTCTGTTGCAGGTCGCGTTCGGGGCACGTCCATTGATCTCTCTCTGCATTGTCTCTGATGGGCAGGTCCTAGGGTTCGAGCCCCGACGCTGGCAGGATTTTAACACTAGCTAGACAGCTAGGTCGATTTCAGACGTTGTATGGAAGACGATTCTAGCGGCCAGCTGTTCTGATCGCCAGTTTTCCATGGTTTCTCCGACAAACGGGCCACGGACCGATCGCGATCATTCCTTCCCCTTCCTTGTTTTCTCCTCACCTCTTTCGCACACTCACACGTACACGCACTACTCTACCACACACGTCGGGAGATTAGAGCGTGTCCCGTCTGGGGAAGTGTACCCTGATGAGAAATGCCTAACTAGGGAAAACTTCCGAAGCCAACGTGTAGTTCGGCGACGGATCTTGTCATCCAGCAGGTGAAAGATTCCCGCCAATTCCCGCGATAAAAGCATGTATTACACTTACGGGAATACGTATAACGCCACGTAAAATAAGTCATATTCAATTCAATTTAATTCAATAACCTTTGCAGTTGAAAGGGACCGGAACCACTAATCAATCAGGGACACGTGTTTATCTATCCGTCTGTGGTTAACGTGCCTTGGGTATCCTCTGCACAGGCACTCACTGTTCCGTTCTTAACTGCGCAAATTTGCATTTTCCGCATGACTCCATTGCGAGCTTAATGTTACTGAGCCTTATTACACGAATATAATATTAGAGCTATTGAAAAGTCGTATCGGTCTCAAAATGAAAAATACCAAAAATAATATCATCATCCTTAAGCATATCCATGAATCTCAGGCAAGTGCTTCTGTATCTTCATAACACCTTATCGTAAGTACTACTTCATATGTAGGTGACTGCCATTCAGTGCCTTGCATTTGATCATATTTGATCAGGTAGTGTAAAAACGCGTACTGGTAACTTCAATAAATATATATTATAAAGTCAGTTGTTATTGATATACATCTTATCCGTTGAAGAATCATACTGATAGAGTATGTTATTAACCTAATTTCATGAAATCTTGCGAAACTCTTAAAGAAAATCAGGCCGTTTCACATACCTGGAAACACTATATATACGAAAGCAGTGATTACAAGCGCCAGACTATCAACATACTGGCGGGATGAAGTCGTATTTGCAGGTACACGAATATTGAATTATCTGACAGTAAATCCCAATGCCTTCAGTGCGTCATTATCATAGAATTGTCACTAATAAAAATATTAGTGACGTTTTATTCTTTATTAAGGACATTTTTAGCATTTTTATGGTGCGAATATCCGACTTAAAAGAGGCAACTCTTCTTAAATGCTTTTTTGTACTAGAAAGTTAATTTTAAGTTCCAATTAAAGATTAAAAATATTATAATTTTAATTTATTACTAATATGTTTCTTTAAAAGATAATCTAAAGTAGTACTGTCTGCATATTCTGCATTGTTATAGTTTTTCTTTCTCAATTCTGATATTTGTTCAATTGCTAACAAATATTACAGAATTGTTTAAACATCACATTTACTTCGAGAAAAATATTGCTGCATGTGTCTATTAAGTTATTTTTGTTTACAGAATGTGCAGAACACGAGCATAAGTGTGTTTATGAAACTATATCGGGCCGTCCTTAATAAATTTTATTTCGGGCAGTCTGGGATTTTGTCACCGAATTAAATGACGATCTTGTCTTTCCATTTACAGGTTGTTTTGGTAGTGGCTGTAGCGACAGGATCTAGGGGCCAGGCGGCATCGTGTCCGGAAAAGTGTTCTTGCGAGTCCTTTCACAGCATGTACTGCAACGGGAGAGGATTAACTCAACCTCCCTTAGGGCATTGGCCATCGATTACTAACCTGTACATGAGTCACAACAATATCTCGCAACTCTTCTCGTTCTCTCTAACAGGTTTTCCGGGTGTTGTCAGGTTGACCTTAAATGATAACGCATTGACTGTTGTAGACAAGAATATTTGTTGCAACGCCGATAATTACGTACCTTTACCTTGGGAACAATCGCATTCATACTGTTACGTGGAGTGCTGGTTCTCAATTTACTCTGGGAAGTCTGAATCACCTTTTTCTAGAGAAAAACATCATCGCCACTCTGGACCCCAACGTGTTCGCCAAAGCGTCGCCCAGCTTGTACCAGCTACATTTGAGTGATAATCCGTTAGTGGTACAGGATGGCCAACCAGTTCTTAATCATCCTCGGGTAAGTCATTTGAACAATCTGAATATTAGGCTGCAAGGATAGAAGTTTCTTAAACCAATCATGTGGGACATAATAAAGGCATTTAAGGCAAAGTTGTCCTTTGGGGCCCAACAAGTGAACAGTGGTACTTTATTAAGTTTCTCCAAAATGAATTCAGTGTGTGATTCCCAAAACGAATCATACGTCATACATCATAATCATAAAATCGACTCCGGCCGCGGAAGCCTACTAACTCATTGAATAAATAATTGTTTATGCCAATTCTCCGTCTGTAAATTACCAATGAGACAGCTAGCCTTCAAGATTGCAAAAATTGGAGAAAAGAAATCACAGTATGCAGGAGAAAATAATTGAGAAAATCAATTAGAAAAAATAGAAAGAAAGAACATTCAAAGGTGATACACTTGGCCCACCATAATAGCCCCAAATTCCAATTCGGAATGGGAATCTCCCGACTACATCTCTCGGTCAGTTTTCTCTCACTAAGAAATTAGTACTTTGACTATCAGGATCTTTTATCCTTTTGTAGTCCGTATTACTGTTCCATTATTCTAGTTCTCCTTGTTAATCAGGTTACGATTCTTCTCGTATCACTATTGAAAGAAACTTATGTAATTAAATCAATCCCCTAAGAGAACAGAAGTATATTGTAGCTAAATGTGTGTGTGTGTGTGTGTGTGTGTGTGTGTGTGTGTGTCGTGTGTTTGCGTGTGCGCGGGCATATGTAAGAGCAAAGTGTCCTTGAAGTGTTTGTCATGATCATGAATTTATGGTATGTATCTTGGTAAATATATACTATATACTACGTATAGGTGGCGGAGAAATTGCAGTTTGGTGATGTCCTCTGTGTTGGATATTCTTTTGTTCCTGTGAATATGCAAATGTGCCCTTTAACTCTGTCTTGTATTTGAAAGGAGGTATTTCAGCATTGTTTTACATTGCATTGTGTTCTTACAAAAATATAGATCCATGCACCTAACTCTAACAGATAGGTGCTCTTACAGATTACCTTAATTTAAAAACTTCGACGAGCGCCATAACAGCTTAGGTGCCTCAAGACATCAACGGATCTCACTGTGGTGACTGTGATCTGGAAGCCATATCACAATCTGAAGGCCATTGGAGTCTCGACGGGGGCAGGATTTTCGACACTAATCAGACAGCTGGATCGAATTCAGAAGCTGTCTTGAGAATAATTCTAGCGTTCGGCTGCTCTGATCAGTAGTTTTCCATGGTTTCACCTAACAGCAGCAAGCCAATACGGGAGCTCTCACAAACACTAACAAACGGGCCACGGATCGCCCGCGGTCTTTCCTTCCTGTCCTTGTCTTATCCTCACCCCTTATTTACCCACAGTTACATTTACATTCATTTCACAACCACACGTGTTGGAAGACCAGAGCTTGTCCCGGCTGGGGCGTTGCCCTGCTAGTGGGATTAGAGAAAATACCGCTTATCGACGTGTTGGTGGCGCAGGATCTAATTTTCAGCGCGGAAAGATAACTGTCACACCCCGACGGACACATGCACTACACATACAGGACAGTCGGTGCGCCTGGAAACTCTAAATAATCAATTAATGAAGGAGCGTGCTGTGCGCTTGCAGCTCGCGTGGGTGTTCCTCAACGGCGTGCGACGGCTGCCCGGCGGCGCGGGAAGTTTCTGCGGCCTGCCCCGCGCCGAGACACTGTTCCTGGCGAAGAGCGGCGTCTCCGAGGTGAGAGCTGGGGCCTTCTGTGCCACGAGCCTCAACGTTCTCTCCCTGTCCAACAACCCCCTGCGCCGGTTCGACGTGGCCGCCGTGGACAACGTCATGCACAGGGGGTTCATCGACGTCCACGACACCCCGCTGGCCTGCGCATGCGCCTACGACGCGCTCTACCGGTGGGGCGTCGCCAACAACGTGTCCGTCGCGGCGCTGTGCGCCGGGGGCAGTGACTGCAATATACCGAAAATATAAGTTATCTGATTGACTTAAAATCCCTCGAAGAGAATTTCCTAAAAATTGTTATTGTTCTTCTTCTCCGCTACTTGTGTAAGGGAGTATATGTTTCTTGTTAAGGAGCAAACATGGTAGTGGGAAGTAGGGCAGTCGTCTTGAAATGTAATGCCTGATATATTAGGGATATCAGGTCTCAATGATTTGTTAAAATACATGAAATTTGTTAGTTCACCATAAATATTGTTACATTAGTTGAAACAGCTATAACGTATATATTGTTACAATCTTTCGGGTGCCCTGGTTTCCACTCATCATTGGGCATAACATGAAATTAATTTATTTGTATAATATTACATATTATTGTTACTATTATTATTATTATTATTATTATTATTATTATTATTATTATTATTAAGCCGGGTGTTAAGCGCCCCCTGGATGCGCCACTATTTGACCACTGCAGAGTCCACATTCAAATGTTGGATTCATTAATTACGGTGAACGTATAAATTCTATGTTTTTAACAAATCATTTATTCATTTAGAACTGCAATTCCTAATACATGATTGTCTCTGATATATTTCAAGGAAATAATACAAAAATATCAAATGTCAGATCTCACGTCCTACTGCACAGAACGGCTTTCCCTCAATAGGTGCGGAGAAGAAAACAATGGAAAAACCCATCAGAAATGAAATCATCTTCACAATTACCTTCATGATTTTCAATACAGGGTAAACGCCCCATAACAGGGGGATTTTACTCTAATATTTAATTTCGAAATGTTTTTCACTGGACTGGACGTCACTTAGTATATTAAAACACTATTTTTACCCGTAAACAGATGCTGTACATGGACACAGAAACGTGACGTAATTTTCATTTCGAACTTCCACACTCAGCAGTGTTCTTTAATCGTTACAATCTGTTCAAAAAATTGCCGTACGTTAATATAGTTTGTTCAATATGAAGTATTCAATAAACTCTGACCTATTTCCTGGAAGTTAAATAATCATTTATCAATTATTTTGATTATTGATCTATTTTGTCGCATAGTGTACTTTCATACCTTCTTATTACCTATGAAGTGTTCAACAATAAAGACTGGTCGAAACGAAAGCTTGTCCCCCAAGAGAAACTATTTTTTTTTTCAATTGAGGGATTCCCTGTGAGAGCCAAAGAATTACATCAAAGCATTGCTAGTGAAATTTATCAGCTATGTAGATGCGAGAAGCAGCAAATTGATGTGAAAGTGGCAATATACGCAATGATATTTATCATTGATAACATCCAAATGTAAAATTTAAAATAAAGATAAAACTTTAATTTCCTTGGATTAAAAATTATCAATTATTTTAGAGTTATTTTTTTCTGTTGTTTAAGCTTCAAAGATCACATAAAATACAATTATTTATAATTAAAATACAATAAATTAAAATTATTTATACACATAATTATTTGTAGTTTAAAATGATACAAATATATTATAATTCACGAAACTAGATTTTTATTTTTACCTATTTCAATCCATTTCCTTTGATGACATTTTTTTTCGTTTTGTCGCCGTCTTTCGTGCGCGGGCGCTAGATGCTAAAAAAATGAAACAAATCTTTTGGAGGAAACCACGCAAAGAAAGTTTACATAAAATTTCTGCAGAGTGCTCATACATTTTTCTTGATAACCGCAAACTTTTCTCCTTGTTGCTGCAATTCCGTCTCCCACTTTGACCCTCCCGCAATTATTAATTTTTGCCATTAGGCGGCGCGTCGTACCTACGGCGCCATTAGCCTCGCCGTGGAGCGCCGCCCCGCGATGATACTGGCGAAACTTGGGCCCGGGAGTGCGAGGGCGCCGGCCGCCCTGTGAAGTTGGAGGGCGGGCAATAAACAGGGCGATAATAAGAAGCGCCGGGGTCGGAGGGCGGCTCGTCAGCGCTGGCGGCTGTCTCCGCCCCCGCCCCCACCCCGCGCCTTCCGCTCCACCTTTGATAAATTCCCGTACGCGCTCATTACTAATGCATCCGGCCGGAGGGGGGCGTGACCGAACTTTGCCCTCCGGTGGAGGGTCAACTTTTTTTTCTCGTCTTGTTAAGAGGATCTTAATTTTTGAAGGAGGCCGCCAAGGAGGTGGGGGTGGGGTGGGGAAACGTGGGGGAGGAGCGCCGCCGTATGGCCCTACGTCCCCAGAGTGGATGGAGCTGCAGATGGCTGCCCCGAATTTACTCTGTTTGCGTGGCCCCGGGCCAAATCACCACGCTCGCGCTCAAGTTGAAGAGAATTTCCTAAAAATTGTTATTGTTCTTCTTCTCCGCTACTTGTGCGCCGGAGTATATTTTTCTTGTTACGGAACAAACAAGGTAGTAGTAAGAAGTAGGGCAGTCGTTTCATTCGTAAACAGTGCCAATGTGGGAGAAATGCTATCCTATTTTCTCGTAGACTTAATTCATAATTATATTTTTATGGGAAATTCTTTATTACAACTATATTTTTGCTGGTATCTTCAAATCAAAAGGGATTGGAAACCGTTTTGAGGTAGTAAATTATGTTGCGGTGCGTCATTCTCTTGTTTTGCGAGGCGTTGAGTGTGCGAGCGGAGAGAGGATTGATTGATACGCTATTCCTGCGTCAACTGATCAGGTCGCTTCGCCCCATGAGTAGTACATCTCTGTTCGGAAGAGGTGGTGATGACCTTCCTCCGCTGGATGGTGAGATCCGACGTCCACCTACCCGTCGGCTTACGGGTTTTCCTAACCAGGTATCTCCCACCAGCGGAGCATCGCCGCAGCCAGAACACGCTCTAACTGATCTCCCGGCATGTGTGGTAGTGTAGTGCATGTATGTGTAAGTGCGTAAAAGTAATGGGTGAGGTAATAACATGGAAGAGGAAGGAAATATCGCGCGCAGACCGTGGCCTCGGGTACGTCAGCGTACTGCTCCGGAATTTGCCTAGTGTTGTTGGAGAAATCACAGAAATATCCGAAGAGAGCAGTCGCCATCCAGACAGCGAGTGAACTCGACCTAGTTAATGGCGGGGAGAGGAGAGGAGGTAGTACACACGAGGGGCCGCACATGGGCAGCATCTGCTCCGCGGACAAAACGGATTGAGCGGCGGCGCAGGAGCGGCATCGGATTGAGTATTTGAGCACACGAGGGCGACGGGTGACGCGGGGGCGTCTTCGCTCCGCTGCTCGCCCTCTGCGCGCCTCAGCGGCAGTGGGGCCCGACCCGACCCGACCCGACCCAGCGCGGCCCGGCCCGACGCGGGGACTTGGAGCGTTAACTTTTTCGACTGGCTGCCGCCGTCTGCGAGGGCCCTGAATTTTTGAGGGAAGCGAGGCGCCCTTCGTGAGCTTTTGTCTCGCCCGCCGCCGTCGTCCCCCCGGTGCCTCGCGCAGGCGTCGCTCGCGAGGTTGGCGACCCTGGCGCCGGAAACAATTAGGAGGTTCCGCCGCCGCCGCCGCCGCAGACGAGGTTATCTGCCGCAGCGGAAGGCGAGGGTTCTCGGCGACGGCGCCGCCCGCGCCCCGCCCATCCCCGCGCCGTGAGAACAGGCCTCTCTACGCCCCGCCCTCCCCGCGCCGTGAGAACGGGCGCCGACGCCAGCCGAGTCCACTCAAGCGCGCCGCGCGCCGCTTGGCAGGGCGTGGGCGGCGGCCGTGTGTTTATAGATTGATTGGTTAGTGATTCCGGGCGCGTCAACGGCTATGGTCATTAGTCCCGTAATCGTAGTGCATGTTTTTATCGGGGTAGGTCGCGGTGATCATCCCTCACTGGATGTGAGATTCGGCGCAGACCTACCCATCGGCTTGAGGGGTTTTCCCCAACTAGGTATTTTCTATCACCGCGGCACCGCCTCAGTCGGGTCTAGCTCTAAGCCCACGACTCGTCTTCCTGCACATGTGCTAGTGTTGTTCATGTCAGAATAAGTGTGTAAGTAAGGGGTGAGGATAGGGTCAAAGAGGAGGAATGAAATATCGCGCGTGGTCTATTTGCACGTTTGTGAGAGATTGATCCTGCGTCGCTCCGGCAATCCTTTGTAAAGGCATCGCTGCGGCAATCGCCTGATCGTGATCGGAGAAACCCTGGAAAATTACCGATTCGACCAGCTGGTCGCTACAATTTTCTTCTAGATAGAGGCAGAATTTCTGCTATGTAGTTAGTATCGACAATCCTGTTACCGTCTGGACCCACACCCTAGGACATCCCAATCAGAGGCACTGCAGAGACATCAGTTGATGCCCTGAGCCACGCAAATCATGACGGCCGTGGTTCGAGCCTCGGCTTGCCAGTGGCATCGTTAGACGGCCCTGCGCGCCCCTCGTCCCGCACGCCCTAACGACGCTAATTCGCTCGGGAGGCTGCGCGCGCTCCGCGTCAGCAGAGGCGAAGGCGCATCGTCCGCTGATTGATTATCCGATTGCAGGCAACTCGATGCGCTGCGTCGCGTCGCGCACCTGCCTTCGGGCTGAGATGCACGAGGCGCCCGTGGGGGGCGTCGCTGTCGGCGAGGTCGGTTAAACGCGATCGAATGGCGCGCGATTGAGACGTGAAGTTTTTGAAAAGCGCCGAGCGAAGCTGACGAGCAACTCGATCGCCCCGCGCACCGCCCGCACCTGCCCCGCAGGCGATGAGCGACCCGGAACGCCCCCTCGCCTCGGTTCCTCCCCATCTCCTCTCCCGCCTACCCCTCACGGCAAGTCCCCGCTACACCACGCCCCCTTCACCCCGGTCCCCAGTCCCGCCCCCCCCCCCCCCCTCCACACCTCTCCCTCATCCCACCCCTCCCCCTCCACACACCCCCCTACCCGCCGGCCTCCCCCCCCGCCTCAATCCGCCCCTCCCCGGTCCCCTTCCCCCTCCCCCCCTTACAACGCCCGCACCCTCCCTGTCCTGTCGATCTTTCGCTCAAGTTCCTCCAGATTCCTCGAACTGCCTTCGAAAAGGGACCTCTGGGGGAATGGCAAGGCCCCCAAGGGCGCATCTCACGCGCGACCAAAATATTTTGGTAGGCCAAGGTTT